CATCCATCCATCCATCCATCCACCATCCATCCATCCATCCATCCATCCATCCATCCATCCATCCATCCATCCATCCATCCATCCATCCATCCATCCATCGGTCCGTCTGTCTGTCCGTCTGTGTGCAGAGTATGGGCACCCTTCGGGACCTCCAGTTCGCCCTGCAGCTAAAGATCGAGGAGCTCCGTCAGAGAGACACGCTGATTGATGAGTTGGAGCTGGAGTTAGACACTAAGGATGAACTCATTCGCAGACTGCAGGAGGAACTGGACCGGTACAGGTCCGCCCTGTCCCTTCCAGGACCCTCCACGGTCTCTGCAGGTACACAGAGCAGAAGGGCTTCCACGTGCTCTGTTTTAAAAGTAGCAACAAGTGCCACGGGGCATCAGACTTGACCTAGAATTCTGACTCTTTTTATTCTTGCTGTTATTACTTTTATTTTTCCTGCAGCTGCCGCCGCTCGAATCGAGGCCAGGCAGCGAGTTAAAAGGCAGGCTGTGTTTTCAGAGCTCTTCAGTTCAGACCCTGTGACTCTCGCAATGGTTTCTCACCGAAGCTGTGACAAAAGCCAGGAGTAAGAGCACACTCTGTTCCTGCAGTTCACACCAGCTCTGAGTGAAAGATCTGACTCTCAAATGTTTAAAGCTCATCAACGCTAATAGACAAGCATCATTACAGCGATGGAGCCACATCTGTGTTATGTCTTCACATCCTCAGAGCTCAAGGGCTGATCCAGGTGGCATTTAGGAAAAGCGACTTGCTGAAGAACCTTGCTGAAGGAGAAATCGGAGCCATCACGGCCTGCATGTCTCGCACCAGCATCAGTCAAGGCTGCGTCGTCATCCAGGAGGGGGCCACCGGGGATCAGGCGTTTGTTTTAGAAGGCAAGTCATTATCTCCTTCTAATTGCAAACAGTCATTGTACTCCAGGATGTTTATTTGGAGTTAATTGAGGTCCTGCTGTACATGTTATGTTTGCATTTTCATGTCAGCGCAGTTTTTTTGTTGTTGACAATATTAAATCTGACGATGCTCCAAACAGTGTTAGAGTCAAGACCACCTAACCCGAGATCAAGTCAAGACCAAGACCAGTGTACCAAGACCAAGACTTTTGGGGTCAGAGACCAAGTCGAGACCAAGACATCAAGTCTTGGAGCTCAATCTTTTCACAGTTTATCCAACATAGTGACAGTTTAAACATTCATCCATTATCTTTTACCCGCTTTTTTGGGTCATGGGGGTAGCCTGTGCCCATGTCCAGCAATCACTGTGTGAGGAGCAGGGTACACCCTGGACGGGTCACAAGTCCATCACAGGGCCACATAGAGACAAACGAGACAAACAACTATTCACTCTCTCACTCACACCTAGAGACAATTTAGAGTTACCAATCAGCCTAACATGCATGTTTTTGGTCTGTGGGAGGAAACCGGAGTACCCAGAAAAAAACCTTGCATGCACGGCGAGAACATGCAAACTCCACCCAGATAGGGCCCCGGACCAGGATTTGAACCGGGGACCTGCTCGCTGAGAGGCAGCAGCTCTACCAGTTGTGCCACCGTGCTACCCGACAGTTTAAACAAATATGTAAAAAACATCTGTAACTTTTATAAAAATATTTTTTGTTAAAGTTACATACTGCAACTTTATTTGGTTTTGAATGGATGTATCAGCTTTTATAAATTTTCAAAGCTACATCAGACATTCAGTGGGTTTTACACAATAATTTTCATGTCATGTGACCCACTGACACAAAACTTTTGTTAAATTTCTGTACTAGACCTGACAGACGAGGCATCCTCATTTATTTATCATTTTAAAGCTTTTTCTAATTTTACATAATGTGTTTGTTCAAAAATCATGGTTTTTGTTCAATAACTAATTGGAAAATGTTTTAAAATGAGAAATAAATGATGGTGTCTTGTGTGTCAGGTTTATTAGAGTAGTTTAACATTAGTTTTGTGTCAGTGGGTCAAAGGATGTAAAATATATAAATTTTTGTTTCTGAAGAGTGTTTGGTTCAGTAATTTGTTGACGGTCCCTAAGTGAACCATTACGTCTTGGAGGAGGGGCAGACTGAACTCAGTTGACTGAAATCAGACTGCCTGCTTCGGATCGAACGAGAGGAACACACCGCTGAAGCCACGGAGCTCGAATGTCCAACGTCCAATGTAAAACTAACTTCACCGTGGTAAAAAGCACAACAAAACAAACCTAAGTCTAGCAAAGTGGCTTCTGTCTTAAATGGAAGTAGAAAACCAGATAAATGGTAGTAGTTGCTGTGGTTTTCACACATTCCTTTATACGCAACAGCATCTAAATGTTTAAACAACCACGGACTAATGACACTACTGTGGGGTAAACCAGGAGGTGTCTTTTTTGTTTTTTTCCAGCTTATGTAACCCATTTCCTAAACGTAAGCTTACACCTGACCCAGAGGACCAACCCTAAACTTAACCCCCTTACCCTTGTGTCTAAACCTAACCAAGACCCTGACCAAACCGCCAGGCCCTTTACTCTAAACCTAACCACGTGAAGCTATTATGAGCTCTAACAAAGCTAAAAACAGAGCCTATTATAATCGCTAACAACGCTAACAACGTACCTTTAAACCCCCTAGGAGGTACAGGAGGGGCAGTCTGACCGCTACATATGGAGATGATAACAACTAATAACGGCCGTTTAATTGCTGATAACATTCGAAGCGGGTGGTTCTGGCAATTTTGTGATATTTCCACAGGTGGTCTTGACTGGTCTTGAAATAAAATCCAGAGTCCGAGACAAGACCATCAAAATGGTCTTGAGATCGGTCTCGAGTACTACAACACTAGTTCCAAAGCAAAGTCAGGGACACAGGTGCAAATCCGAAAACCAAAAAAGTGGAGACTTTTGTTTTGCCATGCTGAGGTTCTGAGACAAAATGTCAAGATGACTGAGAGGAGACAGGAGACTGATCGGAGTTCATCTGAGAGGAGTCTTGATGTGTTTGGAAAGTGACAGCTAATCGCTGCTCCCAGATTTTACTCAACTCAAACACACCATGTGTTGTCTGGACATCTCGCACTGTGCAGGATTTCTAACAGTCACTTGTGATTCAACACTTTATGCACGTTCTCCATCTCTTTTCTTCACTGAGTGCTGTTTTTAATAGAGGGAAGGCTGGATGTGACAAAGGATGGCCAGAAACTGCTCACTCTTGAGCCAGAGGACATGTTTGGAGAGCTAGCACTCCTCTACAACTGTATCCACACCTGTTCTGTCTCCGGTAAGTCCCACATCTGTTTAGATGGTTTTAATTGGAGGGTTGTTGCTTTGAATAATTCTGATATAGAGGGGAAATAATGAATTATTGTTGGACAACATCATAAATTGCCCTGTGGCTTTAGAAGGCTGAATTTAAAATCAAAGAGCATTTTGAGATCTTGGGCAGTGCGGCCAACTCATGGTTTTCTTAGGGATGTGGGGAATTTAAGTCAGGCTTTGCTGCAGCAGTCTGAAGGTCCCATCTTCTCTCTGGGTTAGCTGGAACATTAAAAAAAAGCTTTCTCAAACCAGCCCCTTGCAATGTTCCCTTTCACATCTGCAATAGTGAGAAAAAGAAAAAAACCTCACTGATCACAGAGTCCTGTGGGAAAACTCTGTGCCATCACAGCAGGCGTCTGGCCTGGATTCACTAATAAACACGTCGACTTTAGGGAAGCCGGCCACAGAAAAGGCCAGGATCGGTGGAAATAAGAAAATCTATTTATTTTAGCATTTTATTCTCGTTGACAATTGCTTTCCTTATCTCGTAAGCAGCCAGCCATTCCAGTTTACTGCTCTTTGCTATCTTTCTGCGAACAATACTCCGCCTGTTGGTGTTTTATTTATTTATTTATTTGATTCTATTCTCATTACTGTGAGCCCGGCCCTTTGGATCGGCTCATAGCCAACTGTGCTTATCTCTATCCTGACCTGACAATACTTCACTTTTTGCACTGGAGGCCAGATCAGTGAGGCCTTTGTTTGTCTGGTCTCTTTCCTTTTGACACGGGAGCAGGTGATCCCAGAGAGTCATCATCATCTGTTGAGTGTGGGCATGAAAAAAGATGAGAAACTGTCAGAAGATTGCACTTGGAGAAACACTTTTATGGTTAAAAAAAATTCAATAAAGGAGTCTGAAACGTAGTCACAAATGGTATTTAATGTGGTGATAAAAGTAGACAGGTACAGGCACTCAACATGCGCATGAATAGCATTAATTTTGAGCTTTTATTAATTTTCACCTTTCTTTCTCTAGGAAGGAATGATTATACAACATACGAGTTTTAAAACAAGCATTATGCATACAGGCTCAAATCTATACATACAGTTGATTATTCACTAATGTGTGATTAAATATCTCGTAGCAAGATGCACCTTGACTGAACACTTTTTTGTAGTCACTGATAAACTTCTGGTAATATTCTGGCTAAACATTTGATTGTAACAAGTCTTGGCAGAATTGCTTTTGCAGTCAAATTTTCTGAAGAGTTGAGGTGAAGACTATGGAAAGCCATTCCAGAGACGTTAGGCCTGGATTATCCATTCACAAACTGGTTCTGATGTGTGTTTCATATCCTGTTAGAACACCCAGCTGTGTCCAGTTTTCATCTAGCTGTTGATTTGCAGTGACTTTGGAGGTTGTACATTATTTCATTTTTCCGCTTTGTGCCATGCACCGACCCCACAGCATGATGCCACCACCTCCATGCTTGACAGTATTTTTATGCTTGAAAGCCTCAACTTGACTCCTCAAAACATACTTCCTGTCACCGTGTCCAGAAATCTCAATCCTTAGCTTGTCTGACCATGAAACTTTTCTCCAGACGGTATTTGACTTGTCCATGGAGGTGCTGGTTTTGGAGCCAAAGCTTCTTTCTTGGTCAGAACCCTCTCAGTCCATAAAACTGGCTTGACGGAGGACAGAGACACTGGTGTTCCAGCACTTCCCAGTTCATAACAAGCTTGAGATTTGGTTGTTCCTGGACATCCATCCATCTGTCCATCCGTCAGTCGGGCTACTTACCTACCTACCTACCTACCTACCATCCATCCATCCATCCATCCATCCATCCATCCATCCATCCATCCA